CCACTTAAACCCCTGACATTAGGTCCTCATTTTCCCTTCCCCCTTCCCCCCTCCCTCATGAGCCCTTGATAGTTTATTAATTGTTATTTTGTCGCACTATATTTCATTGTCAATGCTGATATTTTGACTCCTTTCTCCAGAACGTTTTTCTCTTATTTTTCTTCACTAGATGCAAATATGCATGGAAATGTCCGCCACGTTCATGTTAGACAAAAAACACAAAATAGACAAAAAAGTGTATCAAAACGTTTCCTTTTTTTATGTGTAACTAGCATTGGAAATAAGTGTGTTTATTCAGATTGCCTTAATAAATTTGCCCTTTTAATAGGAATTCATATTCATAGATAGAAAGCAAACAGTAATTAAAACTTTAATAAAATATACTGTTCTATAAAATTAGGTATCTAGACCTCAAAACCTACTACACAGCCAATGAAGTGAAAACATACTAGTACTTGTATAACAATAGATATGCAGACCGATAGAACAGAATAGAGAATTCAGAAATATATTGATCCATCTACAGATAACTGACCTTCAGCAAAGGGCCAATATACATTAAGTCAGAAGAGAGAGTCTCTTCAATAAATTATGCTGGCAAAATGGGATTTCCTTTTGGGAAAAAATGAAATAGGACTCATATCTCACATAATATTTAAAAAAAATAACTCACAAAGGTTCTAAAACCTAAATGTAAACCATAGAATTATGAGAGATCATCAATGAAAAAATAGTGACAAACTTAATGGTCTAACACAGCAGAAGAGAAAATAGATAACTCTTAAAAATAAAACATTTTGTGCATCAAAAGACTCTCTTAAGAGCTAAAAGAGAATCCACAGACTGGGAGAAAAAATGACAATGATATATCAGACAAGGGATTAATCTCAAAACTTTGTAGAAAACTGAAACAAGAAAGAGATGAATAATTTAATTAAACACTAGGCAGAGGACATGAACATCCAAAGAAGACATCCAAGAAATTCATAAACATAAGAAGAAATGATCAAGCCATTCAAGAGATGCAAATCAAGACAGCAATGAGAAACCACCTCACACCAGCATTGATGGCAAAGTTAAAACACACAAAAATTAACACATGGCCTGGTGGTGTAATGCACAGGACTGATAACCGCAAGGTGAGCAGTTCAAAACCACCTGCCACTTTGTGGGAGAAAAACAAGGCTTTATACTCCTGTAAAGAATTAAAGTCTGTCCAGTCAACAGAAAAGTGGGTGAAGGGAGATGTCAGACAATGTAAGACATGACACAATAATAAGACTTTATAAATTATCAAGGGTTCATGTGGGGGTGCGGGGAGGGAAGGGAAAAATGAGGAGCTGATACCAAGGGCTCAAGTAGAAAGCAAATGTTTTGAGAATGATGAGGGCAACAAATGTACAAATGTGCTTGACACGATGGATGGATGGATGGATTGTGATAAGAGTTGTATGCGCCCCATAAAATGATTAATAAAAAGAATTAAAGTCTCAGAAATCCACAGAGTCTGTTCTACTTTGTCCTATAGGATCACTGTGGGATGGAATCAACTTAATGGCAGTGAATTGGGTTTTGGTTTGGAGAA